AAAGACATTTTGTAATATACCACTGTGATACTAAAGGGAACCAAACTGTCCCTTGGTTGCTGTTATCATTGTAGAGAATCATTACATCATGTTTCAAGGAAAATAAAAAGATTCATTCAGACTGCCTCTCTCTGAGCCTCCTTGAACAATGTTATTTCCCTCTCTGGGCAAAAATTTTCCTTGCCTACATGACCTGGATGGCTCACTCATTCCTCTGTTACCCTAAATCATACTGGATCTGCAATTCACTCCAGGACCACATTTGAACTTCTTGCATCTTTTCTTCTAAATCTATTTCCTAATACACACATTTTTAAATGTTTAGAAAGTTTAGTAGTTAAATTGCATAAATCCGTGCAGTCTCATGGATGTATATTTAAACATCTTATGAATGCAAAAGTATTATTCTTGAATCCACTGCAGCCAGAAACGATGTTGCCATCCCCAGGAAATTTCTCCTCTTTTACTACCAGAGCCCGTGAACACTGAGAGGGCTAGTAAGGTACTAAGTACATCCGATTTTTTCATCTGTCATTCCCCTTTACACTCTATATCCCTATTAGACCAACTTTTGTGTCAAACAGATATTCATTTACCACATTCCTTGCCTTTTTCATTCCTGATATTCTGGCACTTTGAATCCCATGTCCTTCACATAGTGCATGCAGCCAAGTGAATTCAAATGCTCCTTGCACTATGCAGCCCTCCCTGACACTGAAAGGTATAAGGTACAATGTTGATATTCCTATCTTTTATCTGTCAGCCATTTCAACACAAGGTGAGTCACATGATAACTTAAGTAGTCCTTTTTCTTGTGACCCTCTGGATTTTTCATGTGCTTATTGCTTCTGTAAGATTAAGAATTATTCTAGGGAAAGAAGCTGTTAATAGTACCCTGTCTATCTCCAATGATGTATCCATAGTAGAATTTCAATAAATGCTGGGTGAACGAATGAATGGATAAATATGTAGAATTTAGCCACACTTCCCAAATCAAAATGCAAATAAATAAGTGAGCAGAACTACCTTCAGGAAATCTAGGAATGACAAATACTCTTGAATAAAAGGAGAAAAATGCTTTAGTAAGACCTATTTTTGAAGAACTGAGGCATTTTTTAGAATTGTTATATGAATGGAGCTCCCTGGGACCTCATATTGTACAAACATTCCACATATATATCATTTTCCCCTTGATCCACAAGTCAAAGCATATACATCATTTTACAAAGGTGATGAGAGGTAGATTTGGGAAAGCTTGCAACACATGCTTGCCTAATGAGAAATCACAGACCTACTACCCTACTTCAATAGGTGACTCAATAGGTTTTGAAATTTGCTTTGGATAAAAAAGATTGAATCATCACAGTTGAGCATTAACAGTTTACAATTCTAGGACTTTTCCAGTACCTTCTAATTACAACACAATGCAGTGAACTACAGACATCATCTTCTTTTGGCACATATTTTTAATATATTAAGTGTGTGATTATTGTTCTCACAGCATATAATTACGTTAACCAATAAATACTAACAGATTTATTAATACTAAATAAATACTATTTCAGTTCCACCAGAGTGAACATAATTCAGAAGGATGAGCTGTATCTTCTGATTAATTCTTGCTTTCCTAACCTAGAATAATGATAAAAAATTAGAATAGGTCATCCTTTAATTTCTGAATGAAACAGGCATATCGAAAGTAAATTTTAACTGCAATTATGAACTTATTCTACTTAAAGGTCATCATAATTAACTTTCTGTTCTTCTGAATGTTTGTACAGAGAAGTTATACTCAGGGGAAAGTATCACTTATGATTGATTTTATGGTTTTTGTCAATGATAAAGACATTACAAAAGCAAAATCAGACATCTTCTATCTGGTTTTATAACTTATAACTTATAACAGGCCTAACTTCAAAGTCCGATTGTGCTCACACAGTAGTCATACGGCCAAAGGCAAACCACTAATATTCTTGGTAAGTCTTAGTTTCCTCATCTATGAAATAACCACACCATATACATTTCAGAGTTATCTATATCACCCTCAAGTGAAAATATTTGTAAAAGTAATTCACAATCAGTACTGTCCAAATACCAGGGATTATGAATGTGTGTACTCAGAATGATTGCTCAAACAAAATGTAGCTGCTGAATAAACCTATTACAATGCGGTGGTTTATGAGAGGCATGTGTAGACACAGCCTCAAAGAATGAAGGCCATATTAAATAAAAACCTCAAACATTATCTCCTCAGTATGTTAGGTTATAAGGCTTTACGAGAGAATAAAAAATAATAAAATAAAAACTCTTTAAAAAAAAGAAGGGGAATGCATTTGGGTATACTAGAGCTAAGTTCAGCGGCAAAGTTAGTGGCCATGCTGTCCTCAGACACTGGGCTTGAGGCACATGTTTGGATGGAATTGGAAAATTGATGAACAACCTAGAATGTTTAGAAATTATGGAGCATGACTTGCTAGAGAATATTTCTCTAACTTGGGCCCATTTTCTTGCATCTTTCTAAAGTTGTTCTTGTTTCCTATGTTCCTTTCTCAGAGTAAATTTTATATTCCCCAATTGAGAATTTTCAAATAATCCCATTAGCTACAAAAGAGAGGTTAAAATCTTAATCTGGAATTCAAATTTTTCTTCACACTGTCAGTAGGGAACCTTCCAGACCTATATTGTCTACTTGAAGCCTTCAGAGGTTGTTTTCCCCTCTTATCTCCCTCCATCTGAAGATGCAGATCTCCCAGTAAGAATTCTCAGAGTCTGTCACCTTCTAAAGATATATCATAGTCTTCTTTGTGCTTCTGCAACATCAGTCATATTTTAACTTTTATGGCATGGGCTGTTGAAAGATGAGAAGTGAGTCCTACTTCTTTCCATCTCAGCCATCCACTTTTCTGCTCCTATCAGTTCTCCCAAAAGACCACAGTACCTGTTACGTACCAGCAACTCAGAACATATTTACAGGAGTGAAGTTCAGTTTTCCTGCTGACAGAACTGATGGAGCCAACAGCCAAGACAGTTAAGGAAGTGCCAGGCTCTGGTATATTGTGCCTTGTTCCCCTACATAGCTGACAATTCCATTATATGTTTAGAAAAGGTAATGGGAATGTATCTAAAGAGGAAAGCATGGCAACCTTATGTGCAGTTAAGTGTTGGGATGACTGACAGTAGAAAAGCAGAACTGGCTTGAATGGAACCATTGTTCATATAGCAGCTGCCATTAAAGAAGTGGAGCAGGACACAGAGCACTGTACATACTGTCACTTAGGCAAATGTCACACAAGAGTCAAACAACACACTAACAAAAATGCATGTCCAATATTGGCATCTAGAGTTCCAATGTCTGTCTTATGAGGATGTGGATACCGTGAAAATATTTGCCACAGACCTCTCAAAACTTCAGATAGGCAGGGAATGATGACTAGTAGTGGAATATCAGCTTTTGAAATGCAGATTATAAGTGAAGATGAGAAAAAAGTCAAGCTCCAAAGTAGGCAAGAAGTACAAGGGAAAACTGGTGACAAGGTGCCACTCATACTTAAAAAACATACATTAATTGCTACCACCTAATTCTAGTGAATTTGAGGAGGACCTGATCTACTGAAACTGGTGGTAACAGTACAAGCTATTCACAATCTTTGAAAATCAAGTGGTCATAATACTCATGTAACAATCCCATTCTTAGGCGTCTGGGGCCAGGAAATAACTCTAAAGAAAATATGTACAAATATGTCCCTGCAGCATTACTTATAACAATGACCAAAAACAAACAAAAAAAATGAATTCACTTAAATATCCTACATAAGGGTCAGGCTTGGTGGCTCAGCCAATAATCCTAGCACTTTGGGAGGCTGAGGCGAGTGAATTGTCTGAGCCCATGGGTTTGAAACCAGCCTGGGCAACTTGGTGAGACCTCGTCTCTACAATAAATAAATAAAAAAGATTAGCCAGGCATAGTAGCGTGCACCTGTAATTCCAGCTACTTGGAAGGCAGAGGTGGAAGGATCGCTGGAGCCCAGTAAGTTGACACTGTGGTGGACGCAAGTGTGCCATTGCACTCCAGCCTAGGCAACGGAGTGAGACTCCAACTCAATATATATATATATCTCCAACATAAGGAATTTCTTTATAAAAGACATAGCCCCTCATCTTAAACTTTCAAAGCCACGCTAAGTCCTATCTATAAAGACTATAATAATAGGTAACAAAATATCCATATAGGCAAAGCTAGAAAAAGGGCAGGGCAATGAAATAAAAAGAGATTTACTTTTTAATAATAGTTTTGTTTTGTTTTGTTACAATGATTTTGGGTTTTTTTTTTTAATTTTAATTTTTTTTTTAGTTGGAGTCTCACTCTGTCGCCCAGACTGGAGTGCAGTGGCCGCTCCTGGCCACTGCAGCCTGGACCTGGTGGGCTCCGGCGATCCTTCCACCTCAGCCTTCCAAGTAGCCGAATTACAGGCATGTGCTACCATGCCTGGCTGATTTTTTGATTTATTGTAGAGATGAAGTCTCACTGCCCAGGCAGGCCTCGAACCTGCGGGCTCAGGCAATCCACTCACCTCAGCCTCCCAAAGGCGCGGGATTACAGGCTGAGCCACCGAGTCCAGCTGATTTTGGGTTATTTTTAAAGAAAGTACTCAAAAAGTCAACGTAAGAAATTTCTGCCAGTCATGCAAAATGGCGCATTCCTGTAATCCTAGCACTTTGGGAGGTCAAGGCGGGAGGATTGCTTGAGCCCAGTCATTCAAGACCAGTCTAGGAAGCATAGTGAGACTTCGCCTCTCTGCCCATCCACCCCTCCACCAAAAAAAGTTAAAAAATTTCTGCCGGTTAAGTAACACATGTTGATATTTTAAAGAGGACAACTTAGACCATTGGCTCTGAGATCAAAAAATAATGAAAAGGTTATCAGATGCCTCTTGTTGCTTCAGCAAAACTACAGTATCTGTATCTGGCTGTGTGGAGAAACATCTGTGGGCAGCGCTCACCTGTGGAGGCCGAGGCTTGTAGGGGGAGCTGCACTCAAGGTCGGCCAAGATACTGGTCAGGGAGTCAATCTCGGCATCCAGGCTGGACCGTCTTTCCTCAAGGGTCTTGCCTCCAGGATTTCCCTGCTAGAAGCAACACACACATGTTAAAAAAGTAAATTTCCATTGACAGCAGGATAAGTTCAAATTTTGCAAGGTATAATGTGGCATCGTCCAAGGTTTTCTGCAACTCCCTCTCTCTCTCTTCATTATTTTTAGCTTTTATAAAATGTCAGTACTGTAGCCTGAGGTATAATTATCTCTTTTTGATAGACAAGGAAACTGAAAAATATAAGATAATTTTTCTTCAGGTCACACACTTATTTAGAAGCTTTCTTTTAAAGAATAAGCATACAAGTAAAAGAAAATAAGTCTCCATCCCTGCACTTAAGGGATAGAACCAACTGAAGAGATCTGACAAGCTCTTTATGTTCAGAAACATTGCCTAGAATGATGATATTTTCCTGGAGTAGCAAGGGGCAAGGAAGGAAGACTGACAGTTCAAAAGAGGCATCAGCACTGGAAGACCTGGGAGCATGAAAGTGCTTGGGAGTCTGGAGATCAGTGAGTCTTAGGTATGCACATGTGAGAGAGATAGCAAGACCCAAATAGTGCCCCTAAAACATGAACTAGGAAGAGACCTCTCAGGGTTCCGGTCAAGGTACTGCAGAGGAAGCATGTGGTAGTGAGCACTGAGGACGAAGTCAGGATTTGTGAATTCTATCTGTCAATGTCCCAGGTGGCCTGCACTCAGTATCAATAAGAGGAAGGTATAGAGCAATAACATTGGCACAGAGCATTTCCACAAACTGTGAGCAGGTTTGGGGAAATAAGCAAACTCTTTGCCTGGAGTTAACAATATGGAGACATAAAGTGAGGAGCCCCTAGGATCTAGAGGAAGGATGAATTAAAAATGATCTTTTAAAGTGACAATATAGTAATGATTATGTGTGTGATGTGAGAGTCTCTTAAGACTATACCAAGAGACCAAAGTGTATCTTCAGCAAGACTCAATCCGAATAAAACAGTGAAAAGTTACTATACACTAATCACCTCTATTGGACTTAGTCTAAGGAGGTTGCATTTCAAGAAAATGTCTAGTGTCTGCAAGAGCTGAGAAAAAACATTAGCCAGGAAGCTAATACCTTCAGTAAAAACAACAATAATAATGTACCATGACAAGCTAGCATTAAATCTTATAACCATTGAAGAACATCTGTTCTTTTACTGACTATGCTGAATCAGGCATAATGCATAATGGCATTGCCAGTTAGGACCACTAGATTGTCTTGTCCTAGTAACTTGCTTCCCAAGCCACCTTCCCTGAGTCCTGGGACATATTTAAGTCTCTGTGTAAAAGCAGTGTCATGGAACCTGCTGTATTGATCAGCTTATTGTGAATTTAGCCAGAATAAGTTAACCCCCTTGGACCTGATTTATCTCAGACACACAGTGGGGTGATTTCTAAAAGATCTAAAAATTGACCTTCCATATAACCCTGAAATCTTCCTGCTAGGAATATACCTGGAGGAACTCAAATCATTCTACAAAAAAAATACCTGCACACTCATGTTGATTGCAGCACTATTGACAATAGCAAAAACTTGAAAACAACCATGCTGCCCATCAAAAGTGAACTGGATTAAAAAAAATGTGGTACATATACATGATGGAATATTCTGCATCCATAAGGGACAAAATCATGAATCAGCAACTTGGATGGATTTAGAGTCTATCATATTCAGTGCTCTATCACAGAAACAAAGAATTGAATACCACATGTTCTCACTCATAAGTGGACCTTGAACATTTATCATAGCACTACCAGAAAGAGGTTGGCAGTAGTGGGACACTGCCAGAGGAGGGAATAGAGCACATAATATCATCAAGGGTATCTGATTCTAAACCAGGCAAAGTGAGGACTAATGGGAGGTCCAAACTTCACTGTGTAGGTAGACCACTTATGTACTTAATTCTGACTTGTACCCCACATCTTTGAAATAAAATATATATTAAAGAAGAAAATGTGGTACATACAATAAAATACTATTTAGCCTTAAACAAAACAAAACAAAAACTCCTTAAGGCTAGCTGGTGTTGGTCCTAGGAATAGATGTTTTCAAGGTGCTAATCCCTCTATCAGATATCTCACCTTTATCTCAAAGAGCATAAATAACTACAAAATATTGTGGAATGGTTGTGAAAAAGATTCCTTAAATATTTAACATCCATGTGAACATTCTGGATAATATGCCCTGGTACAACAAGGAAAGATAGGGACTACTGTTAAGGAAAGCAACTGAGAACTCAGGAAATTTCACTGTCTTGTGTTCAGATATTAAATATTACAATAAACATGAATTTTATAAGTAGTTCCATATGCTCATAGACAGCACAATATATTGGCAAGGGTGGTGGATCAAAGTCTGGTTAAATTCTTTCCTGGTCCATAGTTTTCTCATCTATAAAATGAGGAGAACATCACCTGCCCTACCTAAGCCAGAGGGATGTTACAAGATTCAGATAAGAAAATGGATGGGAAAATACTTTGTAAATTGTAAAGTACTGTAATTATGATGATGTTCATAAATAGCATTAATTATCTAGCAACCAGTAACTATAAATTAATATGAATAATATAGCTATTGTCAATTATTCTTCTTCTTAAGGAAAGCATCATTCATTAAGTGTTCCCTTGGGGTATTGGTAAAGAGACAGGATTTAATCAGGTCCTCAGCATCTGTACTTTACTGTAGCAGAAAGCACATCAACTGCCTATGCCTTAAGTAACTGCAATATCTAACCACTGAGACTCAGAAGTCACAGAATTACCCTGAGCTATACAATAAAACAAGTAATTATAATGTACAGCCAGCCTGTGCTTGTAAGACTTCAACTGGTTTCCAGCCTCTTTATTCTCCCTTCCCTCTAAGCTTGAACTGCTGCCCATTTTCAGTTTCTCATATTAGGTTGATACAATTTATTAACAAGTTTCAGCCTAATGCTGTGGGATTTTGCAAAAAAACAAAACAAAACAAAAACCAGATAAAAGGGCAGCAGGAGAGGGGTGTGTGTGCAAAATATGATTAATACCTTTGCTCCTACATTTCAATCCTCAAACATTAGAATGGGCCTATTTCTTACTCTAAGTCTCTATTTTATGTTTCAGATCAAATTACTGAAGTCCTACCCAGTCCTACCACAAATCTTTTTTTTGGAGTTCTCATTTACCTTTAGATTTGGGGGCTATATTGCTATTTTCTACACCTTATACTAGATATCATTCCTATAACCAGCTAACAGAATCCTACAGACTTACCAATATGTCTTCTCCTTACCTCACTACACCAGTAGCTTTGCCAGTTACTTGATGGCTAAATGACTTCCCCAAGAAGATTCAAGAGAAAGATTCTCCTAACTCTTCATCTAATGTATTTCTTCGATACGGTAAGGACTTTTATAAAGTGGTCATTGTAATGATAACAAGTCCCACACTCTTCAACTGTAACTCAAAAGATTCTGAATATTCCATTGTTTTAGTCTGGATTCTGCCAAAGAAAACAATGCTCATGACAAAAATTTGCACATTCACCATTTTTTGGGGGGGCATCAATCCTAAGAAACAGTAGAGACTCTGAAGAGTTAAGCAGGAAGGAAGGAAAGCCCATTCAAAGGTGTTATAGAGCTTGCCAGCAACTTGGGGAAATAGGGCTCCATCCTTCTGGGAGCCCCCTGGAGAGTCCTATAGAATGTGTCACAGATTGTTCCACCTGAGGGATGGGAGAGTAGATATTTATCTTCAGGCTCCAGTTCACACGTGGTTGAGTTGCCTATGGGGTGTTTTAACTCCTTCATACTTGTCCCAAGAAGTGAAATGGTGGCAGAGGAGGCCCAGGACAGAAAGTGAGGGAAAGCTACTGTACCTGAGACTGGCTGCTACCAAGGTAACACCTGTGGTGAAGTGGTCACCTTAGAAATGGCCAGTACTTGAAAGTAGGATGAGGGGAGGGGAATTAGGACACAAAAGATACCTAGTGACAGTGTCCTTTTACCAATAACTACAAAATCCCCATGAACAAGCCACTCATAAGATGTTATTTTCTATCAGATATTTATTTTTATTCATTCTACAAATGTAAAAGCTCAACAAATCACGGTTGGGGCTCATTATGACTTAAAAAATCATTATGCTTCACCAGAAGAATTAAAGGATGATAGCTCTCCCACTGTAAGTATATGGGAACAGCCTATAAAACAAGAACCCAGAACCAAAATGTTCCAAAATGTAGGTAAAATAAAGTCAGGCCATTTTCAAGAGACTGACTTTAGATGAATCATATTTTAGGCCAACTATCACTAACCCACTAACTACAGGTGATAAGCAAAGAGTACCACTAATGATTTACAAAAGAACATTTCATTTGTATTTATTTTTCATCCTTTACATCCAAACATTTTATTAAAAATTTTAAACTCACAGAAAAAGTTGAAGAAGTAGTAAAATGACCACTATCCACACACCCTTCACCCCGATTCACCCATAGCCAACATTTCACCACACTGCCTCCCTAGCTACATAAATTATATTTGTTATTGGAATTAAACCATTTTTGTGATGTTTCAGAAGCTTCCTCTACCATATGCACCTCAGCTTTCATCTCTCAGGAACTCCAGCTTTTATCAATACCATTATCACACCTGACAAATTTAACATGAGTATAGTGTTATCAAATATATACACATGCTCAAATTTCACCCGTGGTCCCAATAAGGCCCTTTAACCTATTGTCATTAATTTCTATCCAAAATTCCATTTAAAGATCACACATTGAAGTGACATGTCTTTTTATTCTCTTTCAATTTAGAACAGTCTCCCAGCCTATCTTTATTTTTTTATGACGCTGACTTTTGAAATAATTCTGGCCAAGTGTCTTATAAAAAGTTTAACCATCTGATTTTGTTTGATGATTGGATTCAGATTAAACAAGTTTGGCAGGAATATTACATGCATGATGTTGTGTCCTTCCCACTGCATCATATCAAGAAGCTCATGATGTCATTTTGGCCCATATTTGGTGATGCCA